ATGCATAGGTAATCGTCTTCTTTGGCCCATTTCTCCTTGGGAATCCTTGAATTCCTGTTGTTGAGCCTCGATCTTCACTGAGGGCCAGTCATCAACTGTTTAAGTGTTTAATTATCAATAAGCCGAAGTCTGTGGAAGGCCATAATGGCCCTGCTTTAAGTGGTTCGCTGCTCCCGCAGCTCACCATGCTGTCTGCCTCTGCCGCCATCTTGGATCTCTCTATTTTAAATTTTTTTATTTTTTATTTTTTGGAACTGACTTAATTAACTTTATTTCTGTTATACAAAAACCACTATGTGGTGGCCACAGCTAGAGCCTGGGTCCTCTGCACAGAGACTCTAGTATGGGTCTTTATAAGATGATCAGTGAATTCCTAATAAGGATACTTGGTGAACACAGTCTCCAGCGAACTGGGGCCAAATTGCTGTAGGTCTTGGAGATGGCATCAAAGGTGGCCTTGACAAAGTTTCCAAGGGTAGCTATTCAGCCCCTGGTGGAGATGTAGCATTCATCAATTCCAGCCATCAACAGCAGCTTCTCGGGCACAGGGACCAAGACTATTCCAGTGCCTTGGGACACAGGGATCAGACAAACCAACACAGAGCCACTAAGCCACAGTGTCCATTCACCTTACAGAGACTAGTGTAAGACTTGCTGATATTGTTCCTCCAATAGCCACACTGTACAGGGACAATGTTGAGTTTGGCCAGGATAATAGCCCCATTAAAGCCCAAACCAACATGGCTATTAAAGTCTCCACTGGTAATGAATGCATTGAACATGATCCACTGGCTGGCATGCATTTGGTTCTGCACAGGCATGATTTTCAAGACCTCATCCTTGAGGGACATCTCAGGAGAAGTCAATGATTTCAAACTCCTTGATGGGCAGAGAGAAGAGAAAAATCTCCTCCAAGAATTTGAACTTCATATTTTTGGCCCAACTTGATGATGGGGAGCCACTCCTTGTCCTCGGCTTTGCATCCTTGAGCTCTGCAGCCCTTTCTATAGCCCAGTCCACTGCCCGACGCTAATAAGCTGACGCAGACAATTGCCGAAGCTTTCACAGAACTGCCACTGGCTTCCATCCCCAGAGCCATAGCCACTGGGCCCTCCAGGCCCTCCCGCTGCACCAGAGTCACCCTCCATTTGCTGTTTTCTTGGAGAAGAAGCTCTTTAATTTTTAAAATATAAATATATATCTCTCCGTTTATCAAT